ACAGCTGAAAATTGGCTGTGGCAAAGGAGGGTGCCCTCTGGGCTCTTGCTTGAGGCAGCAAAATGTCTCCATCTGACTTTGAGGGTGATTTGAAAACCCAATCCTCCAAACTGTTGTTGAACTGCTGTTGTTGGTTTTTTTGCTCCTGCTCGAGATTGTTTTGTTTTTCAGACATACTTAGCAAGGCCTGTACCAGTAACAGAGCCTTTCACACATTTCTGCATAGCAGTTCAGGTTTAGTTTTCTCGTGGCAAGTACATTTGTAGTTTTAATAATTGCTTGTAATTCCTGACTGTTGTATCACCACCTTCTGTGGGAGGCATTTGTTTTTGCCATGCTTGTCAAGCATATATTCATGTTTCACTTCATTGGCTTTACAAATTGTCAGCTGATTGTTTTTTTGTTTGTGTTTTAACTTGTGTGAAATATGCTGAATAGCAGAATACTTTCCCCCTAGAATGAGAAGGACAGTGTTGTGTGATACCATTTCTGACACTAAAGAATAAAAATGTAGCACATTTGTTGGTTGGATTTATTCATGAAGGGAGTTGAGCTTCGGTTGTGTTCACATGTGGAACTTCAACATCTGATGATTCAACATCAACCAAAGATTAATCTAGGGGAAAGTGCCCACAGATAAGATGCTACAATAGTCACGTCCTCATTTCCAACACACACTGTGGAGGCAGCAATCCTCACATGTAACGCCCAACTGGCCATGTGTAGATTGACATTTGTTTGGGTTATACAAACCCTGTAAGAAGGGGAGGGCTGTCTGTTTTTATTAGCAGAGAGAGAACTCTTACAGGGATGCAGAACCCTCCCTTTGCTTCAAGAAGAATGGAAAGATGATAATAACTAATTATTGCAATCTAGGCCAGTTCCAAAGGAGGAAAGAATTCATTATTGTAGTCTTTTCTGTAGACCAGTGAAATGCTGTGGACATAGTATATTTAGATTTCAGCAAGTAGACCACAACCTATTTCTTGGTAAGCTAGAAAAATGTGAGATAGACAGCATCACTATCAGATGGATTTGTAATTGGCTGACAAACCATATTCAACGAGTAGTTCTTAATATAACTGCATCTACATGGAAGGAAGGAAGCAGTGATGTACCACAATGTTCCATCTTAGGCCCAATATTCTTCAATAGCTTCATAAATGACTTAGATGAGGGAATAGAAGGGGAACCCAACAAATTTGCAGATGAAGCTAAATTGACAGGAATAGCCAACACCCCAGAAGACAAGCTCATGATCCTAAAAGAACTTGACAGACTTGAACAATGGGCCCTATCCAAGAAAATGAAATTTAATGTGGAGAAAAGCAAGGTTTTATATCTGGGCAGGAAAAACCAAAGGTACAAGTACAGATTAGGAGAGTCAAAAACAGTAAGTGTAAGAGGGACCTTGGAGTCTTAGTTGATGATCACTTAAGCATGAGCCAGCAGTGTGTGGCAGCAGCCAAAAAAGCTAATACAATCCTCAGTTGTATAAACAGATACATAGAATCAAAATCACATGAAGTATTAGTACTGTTTTATAAAGCCTTAGTAAGACCACACCTTAAATACTGCATCCAGCTTTGGTCTCCACATTACAAAAAAGATGTTTGGAAAAAGTGCAGAGAAGAGCAACTAAGATGATTAAAGGACTGGAGACTAAAACACATGAAGAATGGTTGCAGGATTTCAGTTTGGCTAGTCTAGAGAAAAGAAGGACTTGGGCTATGTTGGCAAACCTATGGAACGTGTGCTGGAAGTGGCACGCAGAACCATCCTGCGAGGAACGCCTGGCCTCGCTGGCTTCTGTGCACACACACGTGCCAGTCAGATGGCCATCGTGCGCGCAGGAGCGGTGAAACCCAGAAGAGCGGCATTCTGTCACGCATGCGCAGGCTGGCACCTGAACTTCTGGGTTTACATTGCGTGCATGCACGATGGCCAGCCATTCGTCGGGTACACATCTGTGCCTGAAACCGGAAGTTCAGGTGCCAGTTCGCACATGTGTGACGGACTGCCGCTCTTCCAGGTTTCACCGCTCCCACGCGCACGATGGCCAGCTGACCAGCACATGTGTGTGCACAGGAAGAGGGAACCGGGCGGAAGAGGGAACTGGGTCTAAGATGGAACATTGTGGTACACCACTGCTTACTTCCCTCCATGTAGATGTAGTTATATTAAGAACTACTCGTTGAATATGGTTTGCACATGCGTGATGGACTGCCGCTCTTCCAGGTATTGGCACTCCCATGCATGCAAAGACCAGCGGGCCCACGCATTCCTCGCGGGATGGTTTCACGTGCCATATCTGGCATGCAGGCCAGCACGCGGTGACGTAAAAGGTTAGCCATCACTGAACCAGGGAACATGATAGCAATATTCCAGTATTTGAGAGGCTGCCACAAAGAGGAGGGGGTCAATTTATTTTCCAAAGCACCAGAGGGCAGGACAAGAAACAATGGATGGAAACTACTCAAAGAGAGAAGCAACCTGGAATTAAGGAGAAACTTTCTAACAGTGAGGACAATTAACCAGTGGAATAGCTTGCCTGCAGACATTGTGGGTGCTTCATCACTGGAGGTTTTTAAGAAGAGACTGGACAGTCACTTGTCTGAAATGGTATAGGACAGGGATGTCAAACACAAGGCCCGTGGGCCAGATCCGGCCCATGATATGGTCAGATCTGGCACGTAGGGACATCCTGGAAAATGTAAGGAGCCAGCTCACATCGCTTCAGCCCAGTTTACCCAATATGAAGAAGAAACATACCAGCAGTTTGGGGAGTGGCATCAAACTGGCCACACCCACCCAGTTGGCCACGCCTGCCCACCCACCCACCCCCAACGTCAACCACAGCCCTGATGTGGCCCTCAATGAAATTGGGGTTGACATCCCTGGTATAGGATCTCCTGCTTCCAAGGTCCCTTCCAGCTCTATTCTGATTGAATGTAACTAAACAGATAGAATTGCTGTCATCAGCGGTGAGCTTTCCAAGTATTAAGTGCACCAATGATTACATGTATGTTCACATATAAGCTTTTTTATCCTTAAAAATGTGAGATATTGCCCTCAAGTAAAAAAAAAAAAAGCAAAATGTCTACTGTACAACTATTGTTAATCCTTATATCTTCCATAGGATCAAAGGCCCCAAACATTCTATGATAAGAATGTCCTACTCCCAAAATGGATGATGCCAGGTCCAAAAAGTGGACGAACCATTAAAAAAATTAAATAAAATTAATTGATGTACAAATGTATAAATCATGTTTATGGATTCCCTGCAATGACAAAAGAGTAGAAAATTAATAAGGAAGTATAATTCAATTTCAGCTCCATACCAATGTATTGTATTTAATGCCCATCCACAAACAATCCAGTTATAAAAGTCAACTTTTAAAATATAGTAGAATGTTTAATGTCCTCCCCCATTGCAGACATAAGATTATTTTTTTAAAATGGAGGCAGTTCTCTTTTTAATATATAAATTCCCAAGGAACTATAATTACTAAAAAAGTAGACATAATTATTTCAAATTAGTTTGAAAAACCACATAATTTCCATAAAAACCCCTGAGACAGTTCATCCCATCTATAAAATTAATAGTACCCCATTTGTTAAGTTAATGTTTCTCCTATTCATATATATGTCTGACTGTCAGCTGATCAAATTAGATAGGTAATTAGATATAAAAAGGTTAACTTGCACACTCTGTTTTCAAAAAAATAAGCTGAGTGTACAAACATACATTTACTTCTCTCTTGAGCATTCACACATCTGTGGGCAGAACCATAGACAATATCCTCTGTCCCTCCTTCCAAGAGGAAAGCGAGGAAAATCTGAGCAGATTACATAAATTTTGAGCAAGTGGCATGGAAATCAGGGAAGCAGAAAAATGAAACTGAGGAAAAGGGGAAACTACCAGAGAAATCCATTTTGACTGTACAGTAGTCACCATCCTAATTTTTCCTGACTCCAGAGTAAATAGCCTGAAGCAGGTAGCACGGAAAGAGCTGCTAAGAGAGGGAGGCAGTCAGAAGAGGGTGATATGGAAAGACCAAAAAGAGAGAGAGAGAGAATGGAGAAGAAGTTGAATGTGTGGGACAATGAAGGTGATGTTTGAGGGCAACAAAGGGCAGAGGGCACATTGAAAAGGAAGCAGTGAAAAAATTGTGTGAGGTGAGGTGAAAAAATTGAGGAAGTGGCATGTACATTTTCAAATATATCGTGAAACTATAGCTACTTAGATTTCCTGAAACATTTTGTCAATGCTTTTCACAGACTACTTCCCCAGGAGAGGTATAACAAAATACATACTGTGATGACGTGTTAGCATACTCTACAACATCTCTAGACTTAGTTTTCAGTCTGTTTCTAGAAATCTAAAGAAAGCTTCTTTTTTTTTAATAAGAAAGGGTTAGGCTTATAAGAATGATTTGCATGAATATTTGAAGGCATTTATGGAATTCTTGTCTTTCTAGATTAATCTGGCTTTCACAATCATACATGTAATAATGATACACGGCTTCCATAAACCAGTTTGAGTGCATTTGATACCCAAATTGAAAGTGGTCATTTGGTCTTTATTTCTACTGAGATGTATGTCAGATGATGACATACAGGGTATGCTAAATGGATGCCTCATTAATGGTGACTAACAATGGGCACTATGGAAATGTGATCATATGCTTCAATGAAGCATAGCCATTATAAAGAAGCTTCCTTCAGTAGTAATCAGATTTACCTGGTTTTATTCCTCCAATTCTCATTTTCCCTGCCGTCTGGTAGAAAAATAGAAGTTACTATAATATTAAAAAAAAAGTTACAATGATGCATGTATTTCCCACAGTATGCTAATAAATATGAATGCATCCTAGCTTTGACTATAAACAACCTTGGAAAAAAAATACCATTTTGAAAAGTGTGTATTTATTTAAGGGGAAGTGTATCTTGTTCCTGCTTTTTGAATTAGACATTTTACAACATCTTTATCATTCCAGTGGATTTCCCAGCATTAGAGGATGAGATTTCAATTCATGGGGAGGACTTTGGAGAAGACGCTGAAGATGGTGAGTAGCAGATATTCCCTGCTTCAGTATTCAAGTTTCAATTCTACTTTCTATGATTCTCTGAAAAGCAAATTATTGCTTAGCCACAAGTAAGCCATTTTATGAATATGTGGATTAGATCAGTTTGCTTTAGAATTGGTAGGGATGTGTATGTGGGTCCTTGCCTCTGGCTACAAAAAACATGTTTAGGGTATAGGAACGAAGTACAGTATTTTAATAGCAGTTGGTCCCATAGCCAGGGTAAGTTTTACCTTCACATTGCATAATACTAATTAGCATCTGCTCTATACAAAATAGGGCCTGTTAATTGTGAGAACTCCATCTATTAATTGGTGGGCGGATGCTGGCACAGTTGCATGTGTCAAGTGCAAGATCAGAGGACTCTGACAATCAGGGAGAAGAGCAAATTGAGGAAGAATCTTCACACATACACACACACACCGCTTTCGCAAAAACATCCAGTATATCTTTTCTCAGATATAGAATGAGAGCAAGTTAGAATACAGCAAGCTAATATCTAGAATTCCCTTCCTCAAGGCCTGAAGAAGTTCTTCTATAATTGTTACTAAACATCAGTGGTGGGTTGCTACCGGTTCTCCCCCGTTCTTGTGAACTGGTAGTGGAAATTTTGAGTAGTTTGGAGAACCGGTAAATACCACCTCTGCCTGGCCCCGCCCCCAATCTATTCACTGCCTCCTGAGTCCCAGCTGATCGGCTAGAAGGAAAAAATCAGGGCTCACTTGACAAAGAAGAGAAAAAAAAAAACCAAGACACCTTAGCTTTAAATTGAGAAGCCAAGAAGCCTCCCAACTGATCAGCTAGAACCGATTCGCTCCTTGTAAACTGCTTGGTGGTGGTAGATTGGCAATTGAGGCCAAGCTGCCTAAAAGCGGTTTCTGATGCTCTCGGTGGTGGCAGAGCGGCAAAAAACTGTTTAAACTCTTGCCTCAGCACTTCAAAGGGCCGCCCTACAGCTGATCAGCGATAAAAGGCAGTGTGGTGGTAGACCAGTGCGCTCCAAAAACAAATGGGTAGACTGGTGCGCTCCAAAAACAAATGGGTAGACAGGTACGGCTCTGCAAGCAGTTAAAAGCCTGGTAGACCAGTACCTCTGCTAAATCCTAAAAAATTGTCACATGACCATCAAACCACACCCACAAAATAAGCCACGCCCACAGAACCAGTAGTAAAAAAATTTAGAACCCACCCCTGCTAAATATATATGCTCCCTATGCTTCCCTGCCAGCCTTCTGGTATTTTCTCACCATTACAGAATTAGCATCCTTCAGATGTGATGGATCTAGAGGAAAAGAAATGTAAAGCTTTAGCAGGAGCATGAATTGGGGACAAATTAGGCAGCAGAAACATTTGGCAACTAAAAGATGCAATTTGTTTCACTAGAGATGCAAGCAAAATCATGCACTTTAAGCCTTTCTCACTAAAGTAAAACCAAAGAGCATTTCTTTGAAACAGCAGGCAGAAAACACGGGAAGGGAAAATATTATAAAGTTATGCAAATTGAAGGTCAGGCTGAGACAGTGAATATTGACCTTCTGTCTCCATGTAGGAGACAGAAGCTCCCTGTTGCTTGTGGCTTGAGAAAGTAGAAACACCAGCAAGAGGCCCACTAGTAAAGATAGTTGTGAGGACAAGTTTAAAATGAATTACACAGTATCTACCAAAGCAACAGTGTTTAATTAAAAGTACTATTAGACCTTTTAGCTTCAGACATTTTAACCTTTCTATAAATATGCAAATGAAGGTCTGGTTCACTCAGGAGAAGGCCTCCTACAATCACAGTGACAATTTGGTTAAAGGACACATAAGGCCTCTCCTCCAACCAAGTTCAGATAAATGTTCTAGAACAGGGGTGTCAAACCTGCGGCATCACATTGTCATGTGACATATCATGATTTTCCCCCCTTGGGCCGTGAGTTTGACACCTGTGTTCTAGAAGCTGCACCCTCCAAGTTGTCCATGGGAGTCCTTTTCCCTCAGGGACATTTCCTTTACTAGTCCCATCTGAGACTGCTTTTCTGATAACCTCTTACTTCCCATTGCATTTCAGATGCCATTAACCTGGACAGAAACCACACCACGCTTTCTACAAATTCCCCACTGACTCCACTGGTGGACACAGAGAAGAGCTGGCTATATACTCTGGACCCCATCCTGGTTACCATCATAGCCATGAGTTCTTTAGGAGTCCTTCTAGGGGCAATTTGTGCTGGGCTACTACTGTACTGCACCTGTTACTACACTAGCCTCTCTTCCCGGAGCTCTACCACTCTAGAGAATTATAACTTTGAGCTTTATGATGGCATCAAACACAAGGTCAAAATGAACCACCAAAAGTGTTGCTCTGAGGCATGACTGATTGCACTGAAATCACATTTGACATTTCATTCCAGCAGTAGTGGCTGGGGAAGATTACTTTTTCTATGGAAACTGAATGCCATAATTTTACACAAGCCCATGCTGGAATGCTGAAGGGGTGGGGGGTTGCTGTTGTTTAGAAGAAAAAGAAGAAGAAAGCAGCAGCAGGAAGAAAGTTGGAAGAGGATTACCAGTTGTAAGAAATGTGGGTAATTGCTCTTGCAGGAAGAACTGGGTAGACTCAAACAAAGCAGCCGCCATGCTCTCCGTTTTATTTCTTCTATGAGCCAATCGTATCTGTAGAAGGCAAAAGATCCACCTGGTTTTGAGGAAGCCAGGGACATTATATGTATAATTATTTGCCACTTCCTTCTTCAGATGAGATTGCTAAATGGCGCCCTCCCCTTCCCCTTTCTAGTCTTAGGAATTATAAACTCACGCTTGCTCGCACACACAGGTACCTGCATGCCCCAGCCAGTAGATCACCTGTCAGAAATGGTGCTTGATTGAAAGGGACTGTCTCAGTGCTGTGGGTGGTAAAACAAATCCAGGAAGCTGCAGCCGCTTCCAACACCCCCATCTCTCCCACCCCACCAATGAAACCGTGTGGCTCCCTTTCACCAATCGGAAAAGGAGTGGCAGGGATTGGGGATGTGGGGGGGAGGGGAGGATTTGGCTCATGGATCACCAGGAAAAACACTTTCTTCCTGGATTACCAAGCAAAAGAAACAGGCAGCCTGAGGTGTGAAAGTTGACAGAAGCACCTCCTCCAGAGAAGCTGAAGAGCCTTAAAGTGATTTGTGAAAAAGAGCCATTTATTAAATCCAGATCTTGGACTGAAACAGCAGAGGCCTTCATCACAAGGGCTCTTTCTCCTCCTTTTCTTTCTGCCCTCTTTTTTTAATCTTGTTGGGTTTTTTTAGTGTAAAAACATTGCCGCAAACAAAAGACACAATTATAAGGTGCCCAAGAACTCAGGAGATGGCTTTTTATATATTTCAAGAGGAAGACAGGCTGCTAGGTAGATAGATAGATAAATATATTTTATTAATGCTGTGTCCACTCTGATGGGGAAAAAAAGTATTAAAAGGCTCGTGGAATAAATGCAGTTATTCAGCCCATCACACAGAGTGGCGATGATACCTCTAACTGGCAGATATGATTTAATGTCACCATTAGCCAATAAGAAGGACTTAATTTTTCTGCAAAGGATTCTAAACTAATATAGCCTTTGAGCAGATTCATAATTGTGGTGCTGTCTGGCAAAGGCATCGGTCCTTCACAGATTCAGGTCCTTTTGGGAGGACCCAGCCATTGGAAATCTAAGGTTATGGCAAAATTGCAGGGTATCAAGGTTAAGCTGATATTCTAGTATGGATGTCGCATAAATGGATCTGGAGCAATCTTCTATCACCTTCTTCTTCCTTCAGAAAAATGCAACTTGCTTGTTGTGGTTTGCATAGCAACTTGTTTATTTTTGAAGGGCTTTCTGTGAATATGTATTTGACTTTTTTTAATAAAGTGCCTTAGAAAAATATTTTTCCCTTAGAGATGTGTGATGTAACAAATTACAACTGAGGCATTCAACATTTCTCCTTATCCCTCTTTCTCCTTCACTTCTTCATTGCCATCAGATCTCTACTGGGTAGAGTTTTGTCCTTTCAGATAGTCAAATATATATAACTAATGTTTTCATGTGTGCTGTGCCATGCTTGAAATGTCTTGCAGACCAGTTTACAGTATCAACTTTCAATTTCCAATGCCTTTTGTTCAGCTCTTGGCAGCAATCTTCAAGCCACAGGGTGTTTTGTTTTGTTTTGTTTTTTGTTTTTTTTAAAAAAATCACAGTGACTGAGGTGGAACATTTTCTAAATTAGCAGATTGGATATGCAGGTTTTTTTTAAATGTGGTAATTTGAGGAATGACACCTCATAGCTTAGTATGATAGTTTGATATTCAATGATAATGCTATGATGCTGATATAGCTTCATCTTTGTGATGTTGTGCTGGCTAAGCTCTTTTCTAGGAATGTACCTAATTGTCAGTAATTGTTAAAGACATTTCACCTGTTACACTTCGCAGGAATGCATTTCTAAACTGCTACTTGTGAATGTAATGGTACATCTTTGGGTACACATGTGTCATATATGTACACATGTATAGAAACGAGGGTTTGCAGCAGCTATCCTACATATAGAGGATCTCCTGTCATGCAGTCTATGAAATGCTCCTCTGAACAGTTTTATATGCATGCTTACCAAGCTGAATGTCTAGAACGTTTGGTGTATGTGGTAATAACCACCTGTGTGCAAGGATATGAACAAGGCACTTACTTTCACTTTAACACACTGAAGTCACAATTCTGTGCAGGTCTAGGTGTGCTTAGTGCAGCTGATTTTGGTGCATTTCATTCTGTGATACATTAGGATGTTAAAGCATTGATTTTTACACTAATTTCTCTGTTCCGCAGAAGACCTGCAGGAGCGACTCATTGAAAAAAATGGTAGTCCTTGACTTATTATCACAATTGGGACCAGAATTTCCAGTGCTAAGCAAGGTGATTATTAAGTGAGTCACATCAGATTTTGCTACTTTTTATGCCACAGTTGTTAAGCAAATCCGGCTTCTCCCATTTGCTTATCAAAAGCTGGCTGGGAAGGTCGCAAATGGCAACCCCAGGACTCTTCAGCCATTGCTGAAGTATATGCCAGTTGTCAATCCCTTGGATTTTGATCACATGACTGTGGAAATGCTGCAACGGTCATTTTTTTCAGTGCCATTGTAACTTTGAACAGTCAATAAATGAATAGTTGTAAATTGAGGACTGCCTATAAATATATGTCCTTGAAAACTAGCATGGGCAAGATGCCATCCATCATTCCTAAAATGAATAGCCACATCGAGAGTTTTGGAACATCCATTGTTCACACAGAGCAAACAGCTGGCTAGCCGGTGGCTCATGTCCTCGAGAATACTTTGATATGTGCTCCCAATTCTGTGTAAGAGTTTAGTTTTTTGCCTGGGTTTCCATAGCATAAGTCAGCATAGAGAAAGTACCCTGGTAGCAGGACATTTCAAAAGCACTGCCTTAAAAGCAGCCTTGCTCTAACAGAATAATGACTGTATCTATCCAGGTATACCATATACAAATACACTTCAGCTCACCCTCAACCGAAGTACCATATAGAGTGGGATCATCCAATTTTACAGGGGCTCCTTCGGCAGAACTGATTATTGCTACCAATGTTGAAGAAAGGTCCACAAGCCAGCTAAGGCTTATCACTGGAGCACTCCATGGTTTTCAGTGGAAGAATAAAGCATAGTTGGATGGGGTCCCATCCATATTTCTCTTATACTTGTATGGTGGATGAAGGAAGACCTCAGAGATGATATAGATATATTAAAAGGTAGTGTTGCTGTCTGTAGTAGACATACAGAGAGTGAGAGTTCGTGTATACATATATTACAATGTATATGTGTTTGCGCGTGCTTGTGAGTTCTCTGTATGTATTATATATGTGAGTGGCTATGTGGGGTTTCTTGTATCTTTAATGGAGGCAGAGGATGCTGCTGCCCTCAGCATAGGTTCAACTGGGAGGGCAGAGCAAATGGCATGCAATTGAAGAGTCCCACACACTTTGTATTCCATGTTGGCAGGTACAGGGGCTTTGTTGTGTGTGCACTCAGTGAACAAGAATCCGGCCATATGGCTGCATAGCTGATACCTCACCTACCTCCGTGCTGGGTGCTTTATTGTTCTAATGCAGAAAATGGTGTTTGATTGTATTTTTCATAGGGTGAAAGGAAAAAAAAGAAAAAGAAAAGAAATGGTGCATATTTTCATGTCAGTATGTTGTCATCTGCAAATGTATGTTGTGCTTGATGATCCATGTTCTTTAGTAACCTCCCTCTTTTCCAAATGGACAAAGAAATGCAGCCTAGTGTTACCAATGCCTTTGCTGAAATATTGCTTGCCCTCTCTCTCCCTCCCTCCCTGCCTGCCTGCCTGCCTGCCTGCCTCCCTGCCTCCCATGGTCAGCTTCACCATGGCCAGTAGGAGAGCTGCAGGATAATTGGTCTTTGCTTTCTAGGGAGATGTCTAGGGAGTAAGGAGGGGGAGGAAATGCAGGAAACGGGATTTTGCATATCTTACCAGCTCAAAGTAGTTTGACTATTTTACTGGCTGTGCCAGATCATGTGGACTTTAAAGCTTTTACTGTGATTCTTCAGTGTTTAAAGAAAAACTCAAACTGTGTTTCTATGATTTGTATAAAAGCCTTTTAAAAGTACTATTTAATAAACATTATAGTAGATACCTTTTCTGAGTCCACTTATTTTGTAGCTGGGAAAGAGAGGTAAAAGTTCTGATTTCTGATGCTTCAAGGGCAGATCTCCCTGCCAAAACCGATTCTCCTGCCTGCAGCCGGTGTGACTGCCTTTGTCCGTGGCATTGACTGGATTAGTCTTTCATGAAGATGGCAATGGGCTTTTTCACACAGGGAGATTAATTGTGCTACATAACAAGCTACATACAGTGAGAGGTGGATTAAGATATGATTACATATAATTGCAATTTCTTGAATTTCCATGGCACTTTGTAATTTTGAAAACACTTGTTATGTGAAGTCTTGGCTACAGTCCAATAAAGCTATTGTGACTGCCCCATTAAAATTAGAGTAACAAATTGGTAATGGTTGAAGTGCCCAGGGCTTTTAGCAGAATTCATAGCCCAAAGCTAGGTGTGTTTATTGGAAATTATTACCACATTGCTCAGCGTGGTTAATTCTCAATAAATGTACCAAGTGTTTTGATCTTGGACAGTGCTACCATTAGCTGGATTAGACTTGCTTATAATATCATTTGTAATTACCAGGAAACAAATAAAAATTCTGTGGTAAAATAAGTCCACATTATTCACAAAGAGCTGAATTCTCTGACCTCTACACATGTATGAAATGTGAATGTTCTTGCCATTTTGCATATTGCATTCTTCTGCATTTTATAATGAGCAGGAATTATGGAAATCCATGAATACTTTATTCAGCCAGCCTCTACAGGTTGGAACACATGTAAGGGAAAGTGGCACAGTATGAAATTTTGTTCTACTCTATTCAGTTATTGGGTAGAGGGAAAAGGAAAAGTTCCATGGAGTCACATTTTGTGCCTAAGATTACATTCATTCTGTATTTTTTGTGCACAGAGTCCTTTGCTGTTTCCAGGACTGCCCCGCGACCAGATCTAAGCACCCTGCGGGTGGGATCCGGACCCCAGGCCTTGAGTCTGACACCCCTGCTTTAGAGTTTTTAATTTCTTCTACACAATGTCCAGAATTTCCAAAGCAATGATCTCTAGGTATTACATTTATTAATTTCCAAGATTAAATTCTAAAAAAGTTATAGATTTGGATTTTTGGCATTTCAACTCATTTCATTTTCCTCCCTGTTATGAGTGTGAGCACTAAGATTAGATTCAAAAAATGAATTCAAATACTCTTATTTCCATATTTTTTTATTTGGCTCAGTATTCTTCAGGCAAATATTGGGTATTTCTAATGCATTAATAGAGCCTACCAGCATCCGTTAATCTCTTATATGCAGGGGGTGTTTCCTTATCTTGCTTCTCCCTACAAATGTTTACACAACTCTGTGGAAAATAGTACCAGATTTAGCCATGGCAAAAGTTGTCAAGAGGCAGCAGTGACTGAGAGGGAACATCTGGAGCCTGAGGCCACTAAAAACTATTGTTCCATTTAAAAGTGATGCTTGGCTTTCCATTCTCATATCTTTCGGACAGATTTATTACAGCTGGAAGCAAATCAAATCTAGTGGGATGACTGTGTTTTGGGGGTGAGATGTCCTGCAACAGAATACGCCTTGTTTGTCTGCTGTGCTTGAATTCAGTTCTACCTTTTGGAGAACCATCTTTTATCCCTGTCACACTTCAGTCTCATGCTGTTTCTTATACATCCTACTGACGGAACATGACGACTTTTACAAGCAGCTCACATATTTCAGTATATGCCTGGAGAAAATATCTACAAATACAAGAAGTGTAGTCATGAGTGGCAGCTTCCACCATTGCTATCATTGTAAGGAAATGATACGTAGAATAAAATCACAGAGCTGGGAGGAGCCATTTAGACCTGCAATCCAATTTAGTGCAGAATCCAAATCAAAGGATCCAAGTGAATCGGTTCTCTAGACTTGAATACATCCAATAAAGGGAAGATTATCACTGCACTGATGATGGATTATGCATGCTTCAAAAATTGAATGCTTTGGCATTCTAAAGAATACAGTACTACTCTGCCATGGAATAAAGCACCCTTGTCTCTTTTCTTCCACAGAATCTGAAAAAAAGAGGTAGTTGCTTTAACACAGAGGTGTCAAACTCGTGGCATCACATTGTCATCGTGTGACAATATTGCGACTTTTTCCCCCTTCGCTAAACCGGTGGTGGGCGTGGCCAGTGCGTGATGCATCCGGCCCATGGGCTGTGAGTTTGACACCCTTGCTTTAACACCATTTCATTAGAACAGCTACATCTTTAATGGGTCCCTTAAAGCAGCCATATTTTCATTCAAGCAGAAGCAGAAAAAAGGATATACAGAGGAAGTATTGCTCATAAAATACATGAGTTCCAAAGATTTCTTCCTAGCAACTGAAAAACGTATAAAGCTGGCAGCCTAGAGCTATATTTACCTTTTTTCTTTTTTGCAGGTGGAACACTCTGTTGACTCTGTTGATTTTCAGTTTGCCATCTATTTTTCCAGGTCCTTTGGAGAATATACAGTACATTCCAATCTTAAAAGAGCAAACAATTTTGGTATTTCAAGCCATTCCATTATAAATCAATTCAAAGTTTACCAGGGGAACAAGATCACCTATGCCAAAAGAAATGCAACACCCCTAAATGACATTGAGAGTAAATTCTGGATTAAATGAGCAGCTTGAAAGATGATTTAAAGGCATCTTTAATAGTTTTATTCATATTTAATTATTCTGTGATATTCATTGAAGAGATCCATAGTGATAACTAGATGGAAGCAGTATCTGCAGGAGAGATGAAATACCACAAGGAAGGAACTGTGATCAAAGTCCTGATCTTTTCCACCTTCTTAAATGCATGCGTAGATGCCTGTGGTAGAGAGTGCCAAAATCTTGTCAAATCACATGAGAGGTCAATTTCCTTTCTGAACTTGGAGCCCTATGACTGCAAAGAGATTCACCATCCCCACCCAGAACAATATGGTTTCAGCGAGAACTTCTTTGGTCTCTTGCAAGAGTGAATCATCCCTTGTTTGCTTGGCATGCATAGCTGCCTCTTTTAATTTGTCTGAATGGGGACTGGAAGAAGAGGACAAAACCCTAACTTGGCTCTCTACTGGAACCCAGGAGCATTGCTAGGGCTAAAAAGGCCTTGTTTCATTGCCAAGATTTAGATCAGGGTTCTTAATATAAACCCAGGTTTCATTACTGAACGCCTTTGCAAACTCAGGATCCAGTTCTGATGCAAAAAGTCCTTTTCAGCAGGATTTCAGTAAACAATCACTTAGAAATTCCCCTCTTAACCATTACCAGGCAGAAAAATGTCTATATAATTCAGAGAAGTGGTAGGGAAGCACTAGCACTTAATACTGATGGGTATTACTAAGCAACAGAGATTATTTTAAATTTTCATTTACTTCTTTGTCATGTTTCCCTAAGAGGTTTTATCTTCAAAATTAAATATAATTGGTGGATCCAGGGTGAGCACCTTTCCATACACACTTTTTGCATTTTTCCTTCATCAACTAAGGATCTGAAAGGATTCTTATTTTTACTCCACTGCTGTGGCAATTTGAGATAGGAACATTGTTTGAATTCCCTTTTAAAATCAAAGGTAATTGACCAGGAGGAGAAATTGACTAGCTCATGTGGTGCCCTGCCCCTTCTTAGCCTTTTAATGTAGGCAATGCATCCACTGCTTTATGAGGAACTGAAACAGAATGAAAACTGCTGAATGGGAATGTCTATGGTCAGAATAAGCACATTCAATTCAGCTGGATTTAAATTTATCATCTGTAAACACCACGGATTTCGGGGGAGATATTTTAAGAACCAGTTTTGTGTAGTGGTTGACGTAGCAGGTTGGAAACCAGGAATGCAATGGCAAACCAGTCCCAAAATCTTTCCAAGAAAACTGCAGGGACTAGTCCAGGCCAGGAGCCAAGGCTGACTTGAAGGCACCAAACAAACAAAGAAACAAAATCCTATAACTTAAGGCTGAATGTAGCCTAAGGAGCACAGGGGCTTGACTTACTGAAGCCCATAGCAATTGAGAGATGGCAATCAAAGTTCTTTCATAGGGTTACCTGTGACTCAGTGATGTGACTTCTGAATAAACAAGGATGCGATTAATTTAAAAAATCTTATTTAGGCATGGAAGTCAGCTGGGTGACTTTGGGCTAGTCTTTCTCTCAGCCCAAAGCACCTCACAGGGTTTTTATTGTGGAGAAAATAGGAGAAGGAAGAAATATTAGGTACTCTATATGTTTGCTGCCTTGAGTTATTTATATATAAAAAGGTGGGATAAAAATAAATAAAAGTAAATAAAGATAATCAGGAGGATGCTGTCTCTGCTGGTTTAGGTCCAACGTGCAGAAACCTAGGATGTACACTTTGAATGCTGTCTTTAAGCAAGGGTCAATATTTCTCAGACTGGCTAATTAAGCCCCAACTTCACAGTCATATGAAAATACTTTGAATTCAGATGTGAACTCCCGGTATTGGTAGCTAGTTCCTACATTTAAAGAGCATTCAGAATAAACAATCCACAGTTTCTTGATTGTAGATAGTCCCTTAACAAACTGCACAGAACTCTGTGAGTGAAACTCTATTGGAACTCATCAGGAATCAAGTTTTTAAAAATGGAAACAAAACAGTAAAAACAAATCCCAAACACCTTATTAACTAGATGCTCAGAATAAAATCAGTGCCTCATTAGACAAGGCATCTCAAATACAAGTCACATCAAGAGACTTTGCCTCCTCTGCCTATCATCCCATCTTACTAACAAGACTCTCACAGAAAATTAACATTTTTTATCCCATATGGTATAAACACGAGTATTCAAATGTGATGCAGGTATACAAAATGCATGCAACACTAGTTTCCTGGATTTCACTAGATTTTACAGATAAACATAAAATCCACGATTTTTTAATGGTATTTTGGTTAAAAAGTGAAGGTTTGACAACCACAAATAGACTTAAATAAAAGTATTTATGGAAATATAGGTACTTTTCAAAAGTATTACTATATATACAGTATAC